AACATAGACTGATGAACAAGAACAGACCCAAAGATAAGGAGCCCTGGGTCAGACTGTTGGATCTCACAGGGAGGGTGGAGATAAAAGGGAGAGATCAACCAAAGGACTTATGTGCACACATATGAGCCTAACCAGTGGTCAAGGACAATAGGGGGTGGGAGCATGAGTGGGGGTGGGGTGGGGGATTGGAACGGGGGGGGGGGGGGGAAGGGGAGGGGTTGAAGACAAATATGTGATACCTTAATCAATAAAGAAATTAATAATAAAATAAAAGTGGATGTGTAATTGTAATTTCCACAGAGAACCCAGGCTAAATAAATTACTGGCAAAGACAATTCAGTCTTTGAGCATAACTTTTGCTATCCCTTTAAACAATAGGTAAAGCAAAAGACTGTTGTTCCATCATTCAGAAGAGGTCTTTTTCTTCAAAAGAAAAAACAAACAAACAAAAAGCAAAAATGCCCATTTATTCTCAGAAGGTTAAGATTTGTAACTATTGCTCTAAAGCAGAAATTAGTTCAATAGTCCTTTTAAGTGGGAATTTCTTGAAATGAAGAATATGGCAAAAGTTGGGAACACCTTCCAGTATAATTTAATTTTACTCTTCAGAAAAGGAAAGAACTCAGTAGCAGTGCCTTCCATTTGGAACTATCATGGCCAAACTGTTTTCTCAGAACCCTACGACTCTGCAGATGTCTTATGGATTTTTTTATTTTTTTGATATTTTTAATGATTTTCCACAGAGAGGAAGGGAGAAGGATAGAGAGCTAGAAATGTCGATGAGAAACATTGACCAGCTGCCTCCTGCACAACCCCTACTAGGGATGTGCCCACAAGCAATGTATTTTTGAGTTTTTACAGAGAGGAAGAGAGAGGAACAGAGAGAGTCAGGAACATTGATCAGCTGCCTCTTGCACATCCCCTACTGGGGATGTGCCCGCAACCAAGAAACATGCCTTGACTGGAATCGAACCTGGGACCCTTCAGCCTGCAGGCCGACTCTCCATCCACTGAGCCAAACCAGTTTCAGCTAGATTATTATTTTTTAAAATATATTTTTATTAATTTCATAAAGGAAGGGAGAAAGAGAGAGAGAGAGAGAGATAGAAACATCAGTGATGGGGAAAAATCATTGATCTGCTGCCCCCTGCATGCTCCACACTGGGATTGAGACTACAACCCAGGCATGTACTCTGACTGGAAATATAACCATGTCCTCCTGGATTATGGGTTGTTGCTCAACCACCAAACCACACCGGCCAGGCCTAGGTTATTTAAAAAAAAAAATAGCTTTACATCCTGTTTTTGAGCTTTGAGATATATACTGAAGCCCCAAACTTAAGTTGGTGTAATACAACTTAGAGAAATTTGTTGCACCTAATGAAGAGCTTTCTCTGAACCAGGCACTATGCTGAGAATGAAGAGAATGAAGATGGCTTTGTTAACTCAAGTGTCATAGACTGATAAGAGAGATAGGTGAGTCTGTGGTCAGTGTTTACACCACATCTTTTAGCAGCAGCGCTGATAGGGGCTTCTACTCAAAAGGAGGTTGGGTGGAATGAGGAAGACAGGAAGAAGCTGTAGCAAACCTGCATAGCCAGCACTGAGACACAGCTAGACACAGCATAGAAGGTTCCTGGGACCGTCATTTTCAGGGGTTCTAAGGCTGGGCATTTAGGGAGGTCTTGGGATCGAATCAATAAAATATTCATTAGCTTCATGCTGATATACCAAAACGAGATTTATTTTTTTAATTTGTCCTTAGGTGTGGTTGGCTAATGGGGCTTAATTGGATTTCTGTTATCTGTCTCCCGGAATAAGATGATTTAAGCTATTTACCTCTGGTTGGGAAGAAGTGTGCAGACTATTTACTCTTAAGTGTGCTTGGTTTAGGGAAGATAGGGTTTGCTTGATGGATACAAACTGTGTTTAACTATCTCTCTTATCTTCTCCATTCTACTTGTCCTGGAATTTTCCTAGCTTCTTACTTTTCTATACCACTACATACTTGTCAGCCTGGATGGTTTGATAATATTAAATAATTATTTAAAATTATTTTTAGATATTGCCCTGGCCAGAGAGCTCAATAGTTAGAGCATTGGTCTATGCACTGAAAGGTCTCAGGTTCAATCTCTGACCCAGTAGGAGCACATACAGGTGGCAACTGATCAATGTGTCTCTCTCACATCAGTGTTTCTCTCTCTCTCTCTCTCTCTCTCTCTCTCTCTCTCTCTCTCTCTCTCTCTCTCTTTCTCTCTCTCTTTCTCTCTCTCTTTCTCTTCCTCCTCTCCCTTCTCTCTCTACCTCCTTTTCACTCTCTAAAAATCAATGGAAAAAAATATCCTAGGGTAAGGATTAAACAAAATGTAAAGTTATTTATTTTTATTTAATCCTCACCTTAGGGTATTTTTCCATTGATTTTTTGAAAGAGTAGAAGATAGGAGAAAGACAGAGAAATATCCATGTGAGAGAAGCACATCTATTGGTTGCCTCCTGAATGAGCCCTGACCAGAGCCCAGGCTGAGGAGGACCCTGCAACTGAGGTGTATGTGCCCTTAATCAAAATTGAACCCGGATCCTTCAGTCCACAGTCATCTCTGTCTGCTGAGCCAAACCTAGTAGGGCAATAATGAAATTATTTTTAGATATGAAAAAGATATTGTAATTGAAAGGTGAATGTGGTGGGTTAGCACTGTGGTGGGTTAACACACCTGAATAGGCTAAATAGCCATCTCAGATGATGATTAAAGAAAATTGAATTTATGTAGAGAAAGGGGTTGGGGGGTGGGATGTCCAAAGGGAAGGACTGCACAGCACGGAGCCAAGGGGACACTGGGTCGATGATGGCAGCCATCTGGAACTGAAGTTTCATCCTTACATGCAGTCTCTGGCAGGAAACTGGTGGTCAATTGGGTTGGGGGCTGAGCTGGCGGGCTTGGAATGCGATGGAATGCAGGTGTGCAGTCAGGTGCCCTCAGGACAGGTTCCATTCTGTGTATGGCCTGATTCCTGTTGTCCAGCAAGTTTTACCTGGTCTTGTTTAGTGGTGGGAAGCTTGCCAATGGCCATTAAGGATTGTATTGCCCTGTAGGCCTAACAGTAATTATACTTAGAGAAAGTCTCCTGTCCCCAAACATATAAATAAAATGACATGAGGTCTGGTAGTTCCTTCAAACTAACCCAGGGGGATTGGAGGTGTTTGAGATGAAATGAGATTGGCTAGAACTCAATAGTTGTTGATGCTAGATGATACATACAGAGGGTTCAAGACATTATTGTCCTCTTTGTTCGTGTTTGAACTTTCCCATAATGTAACAGTTTCAAAAAGCAAAAAACAAACAAACAAAAAACACCCAAAAACCAACACACAAACCACAAGAAAACAAATAAGATAACTATGTTGTAATAAATGCTAAGAAGGAAAAAGTGGTAATAAAATAGTTTTCCCACTTGAAGTTCTGACTAGTTTAAGGCACTGGGACCAGTTCAAGCTACCAGCATTAGTTCCTCTCTAAATGACTGAGGAAACACCCACCAGGCCACTCCCCGCCTCGAGTAGATAGGTGGAGTGCTTTTCTGGTTGAATTTCCATGGGTCAATTCAGTTTCTAATCTGAAAGAAAGGAGTCAGGATTCCAACCATTATCTACTTAATTCAAAACTATTTGGTCACACCCTGATCAAGACTATGCTTCTAGACTTTTAAGTAATTTTTTTAGAAAAAAGTAATTCTTTACCTTGAAGGCTTGATGAAGCACACATCCTGAAGATCTGGGGTATGGTCTCATAATTCATTTTCCCAATCGTTTTTTCAGTAAACTGAAGCTGAGTCCTTGTGCAGACCACATTTTAAATATAGTACATATAAACGAAATTAAACTGATCTGGGCTCCATGGGTCCTGAGATTAATGGACTGAACCACTTTCCCTAGGGCAGAGAAAGCGCCCCGTGAGACTGCTGCATGACAAAGCTGCCATAATGTTTGCTAATAATTTCTTTAGTGGTTCTGGCTCCTTGGAGTGGCTTCTTCAGGGTCAGTGGTTTTCAACCTTTTTAATGCCTTGACCCTATAATACAGTCCCTCATGTTGTGGTGACCCCCAACCATAAAATTATTTTCATTGCTACTTCATAACTGTAATTTTGCTACTGTTAATTAATCATAATGTAAATATCTCTGTTTTCCGATGGTCTTAGGCTCTACAGCAGCGGTTCTCAACCTATGGGTCTTGATTGAGAACTGCTGCTGTAAAGCCTAAATTCAAATCTAATCTTCCAGTGAGTGACACACCCCTGGACCTAAATCAGTTATGAAATACCTCTGAATCTTTTTTTTTTTTATTCCTTCCATAATAACATCATTCAATCCATCATAGTATTCTCTGAGAAATGTTTAAAATTACTCTGTTCAATTGTATAATAACTTGTCTTCAAGAGTTTTTCACTTTCAGTTTTATCCGAAGTCTTTATTTCTTAAAAGTAAAAATCTCTCTTTTTGAAAATTCATGGCCGAAATCAGTTTGGCTCAGTGGATAGAGCGTCAGCCAGCAGACGGAAAGGTCCCAGGTTCAATTCCGGTCAGGAGCATGTACCTCGGTTGCGGGCACATCCCAGGTAGGGAGTGTGCAAGAGGCAGCTAATGTTTCTCTCTCACTGATGTTTCTAGCTCTCTATCCCTTTTCCTTCCACTCTGTAAAAAAATCAATAAAATATATTTTAAAAAAAGAAAGAAAAATTCATGAATGCTAATACTCAATAATTCCAAGCTCACCTAATAAGATAAGAGAGGGGATAAAACTGATAAAAACAAGAGCCAGTCAGATAAAGGCGGGAGGGCGGGGCTTGGGAAGAGAAAGAAAAGCTCTTTTGAGAAACAGGAAGTCGGAGGAGACATTTGCTTATAAAAAGAAATCAGGCTAGAAACCCTGTGGCTTAATAGAGTCAACTGCACGTTTCCTCAATCCTGCTGGCATTCATTGCCCTCTGAGTGGGTTCCTGGAAATGGCAAGCGCAAGAAGCGAAAAGGTAAGTTCGGTTTAAATAAAATTAATTTTCCCGCAGATTCACTTTTCAACGCCTTTCTGGAGCTCACTTAGGTTTTTCTCTTGCCACGAATCTTAATTTTCTGGATGTAAGACATTTCTTCGTCCAGGAATGTCCCCTTCGTGGTTGATTATTTTCTTTCACGTGATTGTGGCTCTGTATACGGGCGAGAGTAGAAAGGAAAAGCAAAGATTCTTCTTCATAGTACAAAGTAAGAGATTTACTTTGCAGACAGGCATGTTTTAGGTCAATAGGATAAAGACGGAAGAGAAGGAGAGCTGCAGTATAAAGAATTCAGGAAAGATTAACATGGATAAGGCCAAAATGAAGGGACCGATTAGTTTCTTCCAGAAAATGGGTTTGGTATCACATGGGTTTCCAGACCAGGCTTGGGTCATCCTGGACTGGAAGAGAGGATATAATTGAGGCTTCATGGGTATTTTCAGGGCTGCTTCATGGATATTTTACCAGGCTGGATGAGGACTGAGTTGGCCAACATTAAATATATGATTATAGGCAGGCCATATAGCTGCTTTGAGCCCCCATTTATCTCTAGAGTGGAGTAATACTTGTCCAATAATGTCAATGCTCTTTTGAATTGTGTGAAAGTGCTTTGAAAAAGTGGTATACAAATGTAAAATCCCTATATGCAAGTTAGGAGTTTGAGAGCTACAGGAAGTCATTGAGATTATTTAAATAGGGAAAAGGATGGCTGCTTCAGATGCCACTTGGCTGCTGCGGGAAAAGTGTATTACATTAGGGCTGGGGTGGTTTTGAGAGAAAAAGTTAAGTTCAGAGATTTACTCAAGCATGTGTTACTCTGTGGCATTGGTCTTTTAATTTCTGAGACTTAGTGGCCTAATTTGTAAAATAGGGAAGCTGATGAATGACTACAAGCATGTTATAAGGATTAAACAAGGGAAATACAGAAAGCATCTAGCATAGTGCATGTTTACTGTACAAAACCAGTAAATGTTACCTCCTGCCTGTCCACTTCACCTTTCAGTCACTGGGTCATTAAAGCCCAATCCGTGCTGAGCACTGTGTAGCTGAGGGAGTAACGCAGATGCATTCTCCCTCCTCAGGACCTAGGCTGAAATAAGCCAATATGGCTGGAGCTCAGAAAGCTCTTAAGCTGGAATGACAGAGCCACACTGTCTAGGAATGTGTCATGTAAGCTACATGAGAGAGTTTTGTCATTTACTCAAAAAGCAATGATAAGCGGTGGAAGTATTTTAAGCAAGCAGGAAAGCAGTCTAAAGGAGGAGTTAGAATGGATTTTTTTTTTTTTTTTCCAAATACACTTCAGTGATTCTCTACAGAGAGGAAGAGTGGGATAGAGTTAGAAACATTGATGACAGAGAATCATCGATCAGCTGCCTCCTGCACACCTACTGGGGATGTGCCCGAAACCAAGGCACATGCCTCTGACCGGAATCGAACCTGGGACCCCTCAGTCCACAGGCCAACGCTCTATCCACAGAGCCAAACTGGTTTTGGCAGAATGGATTTTTAATAACTAGATTTTTGCATCTGCCAGTAAAAATTAATGATAGCTTGAGTTGTAAATCATGTGCTGGAAGATGGGAAGGCAGCAACCCATTTCATATGGATTTCGGGGATTAAATGAAAGTATTTAGTGTTTTAGTTGATGGAAGGGAGACCAGGAGGGATGGTTTCCACAAACCCCTTCAGTTTCCTCTTTTGTTAATCCTTCCCTGAGGATATTTTTCCATTGATTTTTATTTTTATTTTTATTTTATTTATTTTTTTTTTTTTTAAATATTTTATTGATTTTTTACAGAGAGGAAGGGAGAGAGATAGAGAGCTAGAAACATCGATGAGAGAGAAACATCAACCAGCTGCCTCCTGCACACTCCACAACGGGGATGTGCCCGCAACCAACGTACATGCCCCTGACCGGAATCGAACCTGGGACCCCTCAGTCCGCAGACCGACGCTCTACCGCTGAGCCAAACCGGTTTCGGCTCCATTGATTTTTAGAGGGTGTAAGGTTGGGGGAGAGAAAGAGACTATGTGAGAGAGATACAGTGATTGGTTGCCTCTGATACATAGTCATATTGGGATCCAGGACCCTTCTACAGACCCCTTCCACGGGCCAAAGCTCTATCCACTAAGTAAAATTGGCGAGGGTCTTCCATTTTCTCTTTATCACTTGTAAATCTATTTTTCCCCATTTTCTCATTTTGTTTGTTTTTTAAAATCTAATAAAGGGCCGTCTAATAACATCATATTTAAGGAAATCTCAGTAATTTTTTCCCCTTCACCTTCTCAGTTTTGTATTCATTAGTTGTGATTTGAAAGCAGTTTAATTGTATGCATCAAATAAAAATTGGTAACTGACCCTTTTCAGGATTTCTTTCAGGATGAATTAGAAGAAGAAGATGTGATACTCACCTTGGTTCCAGTAAGCGAGGAACCTAATGAACATCAAATGGAACCAAGTGTTTCTTCAACCTCAGACAGCAACGATAAAGGTGTGATGATAAGGATTGCTCAGTGTACTGCTCTTCCAGCTCAAAAAGGCCCAGGAAAAAGGATTTTTCTTTTCTCTTCTTTGGCCATATAAGACCCAGCTTAAATCTCACCTCAATTATCTGTAATAAGAGATTTCTCTAACTCCCATCCTTGTCATTTGCTAAGCACTAGGTACTGCCTTGCTTTTAAGACACACAAAAATCAGCATGTGGAGTGTTTTGGACAGAGTATAGTCTTATGGGGCAGCTGGATAGAAGTTCAAATTTCCAACCCATGACTCTCAACCTTCTCTTCATTTTTTAATAATTAGATTTCTTTATTAAGATAACACATATTTGTTCTCATTGCCCCATTCCCATCCCCCACCCCTCTCCACACATGCCCCCACACCCCTGTTGTCCTTGACCACTGGTTAGGCTCATATGTATGCACAAGTCTTTTGGTTGATCTCTCCCTTTTATCTCCACCCTCCCCTATACTCCCTCTGAGGTTTGATCCATACCTCCGTGTCTCTGTGTCTATTTTTGTTAATCATTCTCTTCATTTTGGTTAATACATACTTTACATACATCTTACAAAGACTAATTTTTTCCAGCTTTATTGAGATGGTTATACAATACTGTAATTTTAAAATATACATTGTGATGATTGGTACACATATATACTGTAAAATGATTATAAGAATAAGGTTGATTAACACATGCATCACCTCACTCACTTAGCTTTTTCCCCTTGTGGTAAAAACTCCTTTTTTTTTTTTAATCATCATTGAGAATGTTGTAATTAATTATTTAATTAATTATATTTTTATTAATTTCAGAGTGGAAGGGAGTGGGAGAGAGATAGAAACATCGATGATGAGAGACAATTATAGGTCCACTGGTTTCTACACGCCCCCTACTGGGGATTGAGCCCACAACCCAGGCATGTGCCCTTGATTAGAAACAAGCCTTAGGTCTGAAGGCTGACACTCCTATCCACAAAGCCAAACTAGCTAGGACTGAGGATGTTTTTATTGATTTTAGGGAGCAAGGGAGGGGGAGAGAAAGATCAATAGCCTCCTGTACCCAACCCAAAACCTGGATATGTGCCTTGACCAGGAACCTGCATATAGGAAGATGTTCTAACCAACTGAGCCACACTGACCAGGGCAAGATTTTCTATCTTGTAATATTTATTTATTTATTTATTTATTTATTTATTTATTTAGCTATTATATGTGTACATATTTTACCATTGCGCCCCCACCACCACTATCTTGTAACTTTTAAGCATACAATACAATATTGTTAATATAGGCACCATGATGTACATTAAATCTCCAAGACGTATTCATCTTATAACTGAAAATTTATACCCTTTGACCAACATCTCCCCATTTTTCTTACCCCGAAACCCCAGGCAACCATCATTTTATTTTCTGTTTCTATGAGTGAGTTCTGCTTTTTAAATTCCACATACAAATGAGATTATACAGTATTAGGAAGATAAAATAGTTTTGAAAAACATGTAATATTTTGTTGGTTGAGTAATTACTTATCAAATATCTAGCAGCTCTTAATATCATAACCCTTTATTTCCTCAGAGCTTCATATAAGGCATTGAATAAGTATTTTCAGATGATGAAGTACTTAATGACAAAATATGTCCAAGCAGATTGAGTAAAGTAAAAGGATGGCTATTGTTGGTTAGGGTGCTTTCTTGGATTCCTATTGGTCCAAGATCTAGATATTGTGGAGGAGTTATCCAAAATGTTCTATTCAGGTGGTTTGATGGCCATAAACACAATAGGTTGCTATGTTAGTGTAAAAAGCATGGAGCCCAGCGGTGAGGTTCAGTGGTTAAATACCTACTTATGAACCAGGAGGTCACTATTCAATTCCCAGTCAGGGCATATTCCTGGGTTTTGGGCTTCATCCCAAGAGGGGGGCATGCAGAAGGCAGCTGATCAATGATTCCTTCTCATCATTGATGTTTCTATCTCTCCCTCTCCCTTCCTCTCTGAAATCAATTTAATTTTTACAGAGAGGAAGGGAGAGAGCTAGATAGAGAGCTAGAAACGGCAATGAGAGATAAACATCGACCAGCTGCCTCCTGCACACCCCCTACCGGGGATGTGCCCGCAACCAACGTACATGCCTCTGACCGGAATCGAACCTGGGACCTTTCAGTCCGCAGACCGACGCTCTACACTGAGCCAAACCGGTTTCGGCTCTGAAATCAATCTAAAAAATATATTTAAAAAACATGAAATTTTGAATGTCAAAATGAACATTTGAGTCCCAAGTCTGTCATTTTATTGGATATGTGGTATTGGACAAGACCTTTATTCTTTTTATTTTTTTATTTTCATTGATTTCAGAAAAGAAGGAAGAGTGAGAGACAGACAGAAACACCAGTGATGAGAGGGGATCACTGATCAGCTGCCTCCTGCATGCCCCCCATTGGGGATCAAGCTCGCCACCAGGGAAGGGGCCCTTGACCAGAATCAAACCCATGATCTTGAGGTCTGTAGGCCAATGCTCTATCCACTGAGCCAAACCAGCTAGGGCCTTTTTAAAATATATATATGTTATTGTTTTTTTACAGGGAAGATGGGAGAGGGATAGAGAGTTAGAAGCATCGCTGAGAAGGAAACATCAATCAGTTGCCTCCTGCACACTTCCCATTGGGTATGTGCCTGCCTTGACCGAAATCAAACCTGGGACCCTTGAGCCCATAGGCCAACAGTCTATCCACTGAGCCAAACCAGCTAGGGCAAGTCATTTATTCTTGAATCTGTTATCTTATTTGTAATATGAGAGAAAAAAATATTTGGTACCTATCTGCATAAATTGAGTTGTAAGAAATAAATGAGAGCCGAAACCGGTTTGGCTCAATGGATAGAGCGTCGGCTTGGGGACTGAGAGGTCCTGGGTTCGATTCCGGTCAAGGGCATGTACCTTGGTTGCGGGCATATCCCCGGTAGGGGGTGTGCAAGAGGCAGCTGATTGATGACTCTCTCGATGTTTCTAGCTCTCTATCTCTCTCCCTTCCTCTCTGTACAAAATCAATAAAAATATATATTTAAAAAAAATGAGAACTTTGTAAGGTAAAATTACAAAGAATCTTACAAATTTTAAATTATTACTACTTTGGTTTTCTTCTTTTCTCAGTTAATCTTCCTCAAATGAATGAACAATTCAAAGGTTGCCCAAAACCAATCCTTCCCTTGCCGACCAAATTGCCATCATTTAATAGAGTACGTCGCGAAACTTTGCAGAACTGGTGCCAACAATTGAATTTGAGTACCGATGGTAAGGTGAGTACATTGGTGAGAATTTCTGCTGCTCAGAGCAGATATTCAAAGTCTTGCTAACTCTGCTTTTTCTCTCCTTAATTTCCTTAGAAACTAGAGGTTTATCTGAGGCTCAGGGAACATGCTTATTTTGAAAAAAAGCGAGTGAATGGGAAGCATGGATGCAGTGTAAATGTGAGTTCTGACTGTGAATTGTTCCTCCTCTCCCAGCATCTCTTCATATATTGTACCTCTAACATAGCGGTGAGGAATGTCCAGCCATCTAAGGCACACAAAAACATTTCATCTGGCCATGGCAAGACAACTTCAGGTTGTCTAGGAGCTTGTTTCATAGCAACATGAATTTATATTAAGTGAATTATATTAAGCAAATGATGTTACAAATATTCAAATGGCCATTGGTCAAAAAATAAAAAAAAAAAGGTTCCTCAACCTTGCTTGCTCTAAAGCAAGATTTCTCAACCAAGACTATTGACATTTTGAGCCAAATAAGTTCTGTTTGTTTGCAGGCTGTCCTGTGTATTTTAGGATGTTTAGCAGACTAAACATCCCTGGCCTCTACCCACTTGATGTTGGTAGCAATGCTTCCTCCCTCACAGTTTTAGCAATCAGTGATTTCTTCCATTTGAGAAACACTACTCTAAAGGAACTAATATTCCTAAACCTTTTCCATGCTGACTTACTTGGTTAAATGTATAAAGAATGATAAAATTGATATAGAAGTTGTTATGGTAGTAGCACTTCACAGAATACTCATCATGAATCCCATTTGCAGAGTGATGCTGAAACACCAGAAGAGGACACATTGCAGTCATGTTCGGGGAAATTGACCAAGAGAGCAAGGAGTAAGAAAAGTCCTCAGATGAGTAAAAGAGAGGAAGAGACTCAAGCAGTTGAAATGATCAGTACAATTGAAGTGGCCAATACACTTGAAGTGGCCAGTACAGTTGAAGTGGCCAGTACAGTTGAAGTGGCCAATACAGTTGAAGTGACCAATACAGTTGAAGTGATAACTTCAGCTCGTGAGGCCATGTTGGCAGCATGGTCAAGAATTGCTGCAAGAGGCTCGCTGTCTAAGACTGCAAATTCATATAAAATTCCTATTTCTGTGGAGAATTTTCTGCTGCAAACATCTGGTAAGATTAACTTTAAATAGTAAGTGCCATACAAGAGGAAGAAGGTTAACTTTCTTTTTTTTTTTTTTTTTTATATTTTCCATTGCATCTTTATTGTTTTAATCATTGTACTTATGCCTTTTTTTTTAAATAAATTTTTATTGTTCATATTATTACAAATGTTTCACCCCCCCCTCTGCCCTTTCCCCACCCCCCATTATCCTCATCCATAGGTGCACAGTTTATATTCAGTCTCTTCCCACATCCCCCTCTCCCCTTTTCCCCAAGAATCATCAGTTCACTCCCCTTCCATACCTCTGATTCTATTATATTCAACAGTTAATATTGTTCCTCAGATTTTTTTTTTAATTTCCTTGGTTTTTTGATTTACTTGTTGATAGTTACGTATTTGTTGATCATAATTTTTATCTATATCTTCTTCCTCTTCCTAAAGAACTCCTTTCAGCAATTCATATAATTCTGGTTTGGCGGTGATGAACTCCTTTAGCTTTTTTTTATTAGTGAAGCTCTTTATATGACTTTCGAATCTGAGTGATAGCTTTGCTGGATAGATTATCTTTGGCTGTAGGTTCTTACTATTCATCACCTTGAATATTTCTTGCCATTCCCGTCTGGCCTGCATGGTTTCTGTTGAGAAATCAGCTGACAATTGTATAGGTGCTCCTTTATAGGTGACTATCTGCTTAGCTCTTGCTGCTTTTAATATTCTCTCTTTGTCTTTTGCTCTTGGAATCTTAATTATGATTTGTCTTGGTGTGGTCCTCTTTGGATTCCTTTTATTTGGAGTTCTGTGTGCTTCCTGGACTTGTAAGTCCAATTCTTTCCCCAGGTGGGGGAAGTTTTCTGTCACTATTTCTTTCAGTATGTTTTCGATATCTTGCTCTCTCTCATCTTCTGGGACCCCCATAATTCTGATGTTGGATCGCTTGAAGTTGTCCCAGAGGTTTCTTATATCATCTTCAATTTTCTGGATTCTCTTGCCTTCTAGCTTCTGCAGAGGAGTGTCTTCTGGCTCTTTATGTTCCAGATCTTTGACTTGATTCTTGCGATCTTCTAGTCTGTTTTTAGGACTCTGTATAATATTTTTTATTTCAGACAATGTATTCTTTATTTCTTGTTGATCCCTTTTCATATTCTCATAAGTCTCATTTATTTTATCGGCCTTTTCTAGGAAACTCTTGAAAAACCTTATAAGTGTGGTTTTGAACTCTATAGCCATTGACTTTTTGTCCTCCATTTCTTTCGTTTGTGATCTATTTGATTTAGGCATTTTCGCAGGCAGCTTTCCTGATGGGGCGGGGTTTCAGGGTGGAGCCTACAGCTTTGGCTTTCGTCAGCCCCGCCCTATGCGACTCCTGAGACTCAGGGTCCTTCAGTACTTGCTGCAAGAGCCGTGTGTCTCTGTACCTTAGGCTTTTACAGCTCCTCTGCGCTTCCTTCTGATTTTCTCCTTGCTTCTCGTTGTAGAATTTCCAGTCAGTCGACTTTCCTGTAGTTCTGGGTAATGTGCATTTTATATTTTAGTTGTATTTTATTGAAATTGTTGTGTGCAGCTGCAGCTAGGTATTTACCTGTGCACCATCTTGGATTCTCTTAAGAAATCTTGAGAATAACTTAGCCCTGCCTTTCTCTCTCCTTCATAGTTTGTTTTCTTCTCTAGCTGAACCTACTTCAGGTCAGCTCAAATCCTTCTATTCTTTTTTGCTTGAGTTCTTTTTCTCTCCACATCGTTTCCAAAAGTGTTCTGGCTCCTCTTTTATCCAGGGCTGACTTAAAAGACATGTTGTTCATTACACAAGAAACCCAACCAAAAGGAAGACAGACAGAAACTGAAATTGACCTATTGTCTGCTCACCAAGTCACACTCCCTCCTATGAAAAGAAATAAGCATCATTTTGCTAATTTCCAAAAGCACTGTCCATTAACATAGCTGTCTCTGAAGGACTGCTTACCCAGCAATGACACCTTTCTAATTTTCATTAATGTACCACATGACCTAGTAGCATTGCACACTTATTCATCCTTTTAGTATCTCCCTATTTTTAAAAAATATATATTTTATTGATTTTTTACAGAGAGGAGGAGAGGGATAGAAAGCTAGAAACACCGATGAGAGAATCATCAATCAGCTGCCTCTTGCACACCCCCCACTAGGGATGTGCCCGCAATCAAGGTACATGCCCTTGACCAGAATCAAACCTGGGACCTTTCAGTCCGCAGGCCGACTCTCTATCCACTGAGCCAAACCGGTTTTGGCATTATCTCTCTATTTTCAAAATACATATATACATAGTATATATACATATATACATATATTATTGATTTCAGAAAAGAAGGGAGAGGGAGAGATAGAAACATCTGCAGGCCGATGCTCTATCCACTGAGCCAAACCAGCTAGGGCAGTAGTACCTCTCTATTTAGCAGTTATTAAACATCTACTATGATCCAAGAGTGTCCCTAATCACTGGGTATATTGTGCTAAACATAATCTCTATTATTTTACAGTCTGACTGAGGAGTTTTTTATGAATATTTGAGCTCATGGTGACTGCTTTTTTCTCAATTTCAAACACTTGATATCTTACCTTGTTTTGTCTTAAATATCCCTCTACCCAATTAGATTGTTCTTAGGCTCTCAACAAAGATCTTTTTGCCTGTTTTTTTATATTTGAAGCAGTAGAATGACGTAGTAAGACAAATGGGTTATGAATCAATACCTGGAACCATGGCTTGGTTCTGAGAAAATTATAATATTTAATAACACTGCAAGCTTCAGTTACTTCATTTTAAATAAGAAAAGTGATTAGAAGGTAAATATAAATGTTCTTAATAAATTTATGAATACATGCAGACCACTTAGCAAGCATTTAAAAATGTAACTGTTATCCCTCTTGCTATATAATCTGTGAAGTTAGAATATAATGTCTTTTGGTCTACATTTTTTTCATACTTCTCATTCAATTGATCCATCAACAGAAAATAAGAGCCAAGTCAAGGGTGAATTGATGAGAGGTTGGATTGGGGTGCCATTACTTGCTCTTCACTGTTTATATTTGCTTCTCTTTCCTCCCCAGGTGTTAGGTGGTGTGTGGTCCATGGCAAACAACTCCTGGCAGACAAAAAGGGTTGGGTTCGTCTGCAGTTCCATGCAGGTCAGACCTGGGTGCCTGACACTCCCACGAAGATGATTTCTCTCTTACTTCTACCGGCCTGTTCTTTCCCATCCCCAGACCTAGAAGATAACATGTTATGCCCTGATTGTGTTAAGAGGTAACTCTTTCTGTATATCTAACTAGTATGAGAAAGCAAATGGTCAAACATATTGTTTCCTTAATTTGCCTAATAGATCAGGCGAATCTAGGAAGGAAAAAGAACTTGATAGTGGATTAGAACTCAGATAAGTGTGGCTTCTTAGCAATCCTAAAGTATGTGACAAGTTAGAATATTAATTTCCTCAAGCTTAGAGATCTATTTTAAGAAATAAAGTTCTTAATATGTCAGGTATTTAGCTGAAACCAGTTTGGCTCAGTGGATAGAGCGTCGGTCTGTGGACTGAAAGGTCCCAGGTTCAATTCCGGTCAAGGGCATGTACCTTGGTTGCAGGCACATCCTTGGTAGGGGGTGTGCAAGAGGCAGCTGATCGATGATTCTCTCTCATCTATGTTTCTAACTCTCTATCCCTCTCTCTTCCTCTCTGTAAAAAAATCAATAAAATATATATTTTTAAAAATATATCAGGTATTTAGTTGGGGTTAAGAAAATTAGTCAGGCAAAATCCATGTAGCATGGATGAAAAGGGAGACCTGTGCAATACTTTAAACAATAGAAAATTTAAATTAAAAAAGAGAGAGATGCTGTGGAATAAATGGAGTAACTTAGGGAAACTTCAGAAAGGATTACATGCACTGAGGAAGATCTTATCAATTGGGAAATAATAATTTGGGCATTTGATAGTGGAAACAGCCCATAGAAATAACTGGAAGTAAAAGAACATGACATACTTGGAAATAGCAGAAAGGTCAATATGATTGAAGCTATTTTGATAAATAAGTCTGGAAAGGGGGGGTAGACCACTGATGGGTTTCTTTCTGTAATGATGGCCTCAGTATCTAGTGGGTTATAATTTCTCAGTCACTTTTGGGACATGCAGTCCTTTGAGAATATTATGATAATTATAAAACCACTGTTCAGGAAAATATGCATTAGGCATACACAAGCACTAGTTTAGATTTTCTATAGACTATAGAACTGTTTTTTTGGTTGTTTATTTTTTTAGACTATAGAACTCTTAATGTTCACCCATTAGTAACAGCTTTTGGTGATAGTTTGGGGGGAGGTGATGTAAGATGGGTGTCAAGGGAAGCCAAGGCTTTTTTAAGGACGTGGATTGTAAGTGGATTGTAATCTTGCAACAAAAACTAGGTTGGAGATGAGTAAGAGATGAATAATTCTGAAAAGATACAATTTATAAACTTGGCAAAAAATTTAAAGAGGAATGGGATAAATTTAAGAGATAAAGGAGTTAAAAGGAAGGGTGCTAGCTTATTCAGTTCAGTGGTGAAGAATATGACATGCGGGATACCCTTGACATATGCCTAGAGGCCTGAGATCAGGATAATTTTATAGAGAAACATTTTGGGAAGCCATTAGCATTAAAATCATACATAAGAGTGTGAAGGAATTAAAAGGGACATAGGAAAGAACCTTAAAGAGAATCAGTATTTTGATGGCAGGTGAATAATAGAGATTGTAGAAGGACTGTTATAGGTTGGGAAACAGATTTTAAAAAAAAAGCAATGGGCAGAGTTTCTGAAGAATATGGTTGGCAGTGAGATGGCCATCTAAGATTGAGAATAATGCAGTGCTGATTTTTTTGTTTGCTTGCTTTTTTAATTGATGTCAGAGGAAGGGAGAGAAAGAGAGAGAGAGAGAGAAACATTGATTGGTTGCCTCCTGCACATGCCTGCACCTGGGATGGAACTGCAACCTGGATATGTTCCCCTACTGGGAATGAAACCCTTTGGTGCATGGGACAATGTTCCAACCAATTGTGCCACATAGGCCACAGCCACAGTACTGTTGAGAATGTCAGTTTAGGATATAATTGGTGCCTTTTTCTGAGAGTAGGTTAAGAGGGTCAGTATTTATATGCAGAAATGTGATATGACAAGTTAGAGCATGTGGCATACTGATAATCTGTACCACCTGAGTGAGGAGATAGCAGTTGAAATAATAAGATCAAGTGTGCTTCCTTCCTTTCTTACTACATTTCTTCCTTCCTTTCTTTTTTCTTTGTATTTTCTAATGTGAAAATCATGAGCATGTGTGAACAGAGAGGGGATGTGAAAAAAATTGGGGAAGGAAGGGACAGTATAAAGATAAGGGAAATGGAACCAATTGTAGTATACAGAATGTGAGGCTTGATATTAAATGGTCAATCTTGTTTCTTTTAAGACAGAATTCTTTCATCTACCATTTTTAGGTGAAGATGCAGGTGCTAACTACTTAGGAACTCCAGAAGTAGATTTCTTATTTTATTGCTCATTTCCAAGGAATTGGTATGGAATGGTTATCTTATTATAAGCTTTTGAAAATTCTTTTCTCACTTGTTTTCTAGGAATAAAAAGATGATGGAGAAATTAGGTAAAATGAGGAGAAGGTAACCTGCTTTGAACACTCCCAATACAGAAGACATGATGGAGAGCTCACAACTAAGTTAACTTGTGTCCCATTGATTGTGTGCTCTGCCTTGGACACCCTCAGCATTCCTGATGCCTTGAGAATGGATGTGAATGTTTGGATTCTGTATTGGAGGTTTACTAAAAAATGACTGTCATTGCTGCTTCAGGTGTTCAGCTATGTAAAATATAGTTTTCTTTTAATTAATAGAATTTTAAAGCAGTTTTAAGACGTTTGGAAAAATTGAGCAGAAAGAGTTCCCAAATTCTGTTGTGTCACCTTCCCCCGCCCAATTTCCCAACTACTATCCAACACCCTGCACCAGAATGGTAATTTTTTAAAAATAAATCTTTATTGTTCATATTATTACAAATGTTCCTCATTTTCCCCCTCTCCATTACTCCCCTCCACCAGGTTTCCACCCCACCCTCTGCTTTTTCCCCACCCCCCACTGTCCTCATCCATAGGTGCACAGTTTTTGTTCAATCTCTTCCCACACCCCTTTTCCCCCGAGAATAGTCAGTCCACTCCCCTTCCATACCTCTGATTCTATTACATTCACCAGTTAATATTGTTCATCAGGTTTTTTAATTCCCTTGGTTTTTAGTTTCACTTGTTGATAGTTATGTATTTGTAGATCATAATTTTTATCTTTTTCTTCTTCCTCTTTCTAAAGAACCCCTTTCAGCAATTCATATAATTCTGGTTTGGCGGTGATGAACTCCTTTAGCTTTTTTTAATTTCTGAACTCTTTATCTGGTCTTTGATTCTGAGTGATAGCTTTGCTAGGTAGATATTTTGGGCTGTAGGTTCTTGCTTTCATCACCTTGAATATTTCTTGCCATTCCCATCTGGCCTGCATGGTTTCTGTTGAGAAATGAGCTGACAATTGTATGAGTGCTTCTTTATAGGTAGCTACCTGCTTTGCTCTTGCTGCTTTTAATATTCTCTCTTTGTCTTTTGTTCTTGGAATTTTAATTATGATGTGTCTTGGTGTGGTCCTCTTTGGGTTCCTTTTGTTTGGGGTTCTGTGCGCTTCCTGGACTTTAAGTCTAATTCTTTCCTCAGGTGGGGAAGTTTTCTGTCACTATTTTTTCCAGTATTCTTTTGGTATCTTGCTCTCTGAGACCCCCATAATTCTGGGACCCCCATAATTCTGATGTTGGTTTTCTGGGACCCCCATAATTCTGATGTTGGTTCGTTTGAAATTATCCCAGAGGCTTCTTACACTATCTTCAACTTTCTGGATTTTCATATCTTCTTGCTTCTGTGGAGGAGTGTCCTCTGGCTTTTTGTGTTCCAAATCTTTGACTTGATTATTGCGATCTTCCATTCTGTTTTTAGGACTCTAAAATATTTTTTATTTCAGACAATGTATTCTTTATTTCTAGTTGATCCCTTTTCATATCCTCATAGGTCTCATTTATTTTATCGGCCTTTTCTAGGAAATTCTTGAAAAAACCTTATAAGCGTGGTTTTGAACTCTATATCCAGTTGCTTCTTTTCCTCCATTTCTTTTGTTTGTGATCTGTTTCCTTGTCACAGCTTCCCTGAGTTGATAGGGTGGCTTTGTGTGTTAAGGTGTCCTATATGGTTCAGTGAATCAGTCTCCCAGTTACCTGAGGTGGACAGTCTTGGTGTAGCCCTTTGTGGGCTGTGTGTGCAGTCTTGCTGTTAAGTCTTTTTAAAAATATATATATATATATTTTTTAATCAATCTTTATTGTTCATATTATTACAAAGGTTCCTCATTTCTTCCCCCCTCCACCAGGTTCCCACCCCACCCTCTGCCCCCTCCCCATCCCCCATTGTCCTCATCCATAGGTGCAGTTTATGTTCAGTCTCTTCTTCCCTCAATTTTCCCAATAGTAAATCCCTTTTCAGATAGTAAATCAGTTACTTAGCATTTTCTCATATCAATAATACCTCCACATGCCCAATGATACACTTCACACAAAAGACATTTCCCAATAGGTCCACTAGCCTCATCCAGGCCCCACCCAAGGCACTCACAGATCAACACCCCAGTCCTAAACTAACTCAACACATCCAGATCTAAGCCTTCATCACTTGATTCAGCAGACCCTCAAGTTCCCACGAAAGTTTCCAGCCATGTCTGAGAAGCAGTCGTGGGGCAGGGGCAGGCAAGGAGCAAGCTGTTCTGGGCCTGGCTGCTCAGGGCCTGGCCTCTGTTGCTCTGGTTCATTCCACAACCAGCTGCTCCGGGTCTGGTCACTGCCGCTCCCGACCTAGTTGCTCTGGACTTGGCTGCTGCTGCTCCGGGCCTGGCCGCTCCCAGCCTGGCAGCCGCTGCTCCGGGCCTGGCCGCACCCGACTCGCCTGCTGCCCCGGGCCTGGCCACTCCCAGCCTGGCAGCCGCTGCTCCGGGTAAAAAAATATATTTTATTGATTTTACACCGAGAGGAATTGAGAGGGATAGAGAGTTAGAAACGTTGATGAGAGAGAAACATCGACCAGCTGCCTCTTGCACACCCCACACTGGGGATGTGCCCGCAACCAATGTACATGCCCTAGACCAGAATCGAACCTGGGACCTTTCAGACCCCAGGCCGATTCTCTTCCACTGAGCCAAACCGGCTTCGGCTTGTTATTAAGTCTTAATTGTTGTTGGTATCACTGGGAAGTGTTGATCTCCAAGCCAATTGGCTATGAGGGTCAGAAATGTCTCAGCTAGAAGGGTTTCTATATTCCACTTGAATGGGGTGGAGTCTCGGGGTGGCACAGACAAGCCTTGTTGAATCCCGCACAATTGGTTGCAGGTGCACACACACCTCTTTGGTATAGGCGCAGACAAACTTTAGATTCCCTAGGAGTGTCCCATTCCCTGCGAAAGAAAAAGCTAGCCACTAGAAGGGCTTCTGTGCTCCGCTTGGATGTGGCAGAGTCTCAGGTGGTGCAGACAAGCTTGACTCAGCTCCTCCCTATGAGGGTCTGGTTTCTGTGGTCCCATTACTGCAGGACCCTCTCTATGAAGGTCCCGCAGTAATGGCCACTGGCTTCACCTCGGAGAGATCTCTGCCCACTGCCTGACAGTCTGGCCTTTCCCTATTTGGGGCCATCTATCAGTGCAATAGGGTGGTTCTGTTTTTCTCCTGAATAAGAAAGTCAGCCACGCATTAGCTGTCAGCCCTCTCTGCACGCCAGGAGTAAGACAGTAGTGAACTCAGCTGCCCTCTCTTCGCTCCGCAAGCAAGCCGGCAGCGAAGTCGGGTGGCTGCCTTTTCGCACGCACAGTTCTCCGCACCTTCACAGTTCCTGAGGTTCAGCGAGCCTTCTCTCTCCTTCCCAGATGGTAGAGCCTCCTCTCAGCCAGCCGTCTGGTGCTTCAGGGTGATGTTTCCCCTGTTTTTCAGTTCTAAATTCAAATCTGTTGTGGTAGGCTGCATTCGGGTGTCTATCCTATGCCTCCATCTTGGCTTCTCCCCGCCCCCCCCAGAATAGTAAATTTGTTGAACTTATATTGACCCATCATTATCAATGAAAGCCCATAATTGACATTTGGGTTCACTCTTTGTGTTTTATATTCTATGAGTTTTGACAGATGTATAGAGATGTACACACTTTTTTTAATATATGTATTTTATTGATTTTTTACAGAGGGGAAGAGAGAAGGATAGAGAGCTAGAAACATTGATGAGAGAGATATATTGATCAGCTGCCTCCTGCACACCCCCTGGTTAACCATTAATAGAATTTAAAATGTGCCCACAACCATGGTACATGCCCTTGACCAGAATCAAACTTGGGACCCTTGAGTCCTCAGACTGACGCTCTATCCACTGAGCCAAACCGGTTTCGGCGAGATGTACACACTTATAAAATAATACAAAAATAGTTTCACTGCCCTAAAAATTCTGTACTCCTATTTGACTTTTCTGTTCCCTGTCCCTGACCACCTGATATTTTTACTGTATCCATACCTTTGCCTTTTCCAAAATGTCATATAGTTGGAATCATACGGTAGCCTTTTCATAGTCAATTCTTTCACAACAATATGCATTTAAGGTTACTCCATGTCTTTTCATAGCTTGATAGCCCACTTCTTTTTGGCACTAAATATTCTATTGTCTGGGTGTACCATAATGTGTTTATCCATTCACATATTGAAGGTCATCTTGGTTGCTTCCAAATTTTGGTTATTATGAATAAAACTGCTGTAAACATTTGTGTTCAGGTTTTTGTGGACATACATATTCAACTTATTTGGGTAAATACCAAGGAGCATGATTTTTAGATCTTATGTTAAGAGGATTTATGTGGGATCCCTTAACACGACCCACGTGGTTCCCGGCAGATTTAGCTTTATGAGAAACTGCCAAACTTTCTTTCAAAGTAGCTGTACCATTCTGAATTGCCACCCATGATGAATTAGAGTTAGTGATTTGAATTTTAGCCATTCTAATAGGTGTGTAATGGTGTCTTATTGTTATAATTTGCAGTTTGCTAATTAGATATTATGTGGTTCAGCTTTTATTATGCTTTGTCATCTGTATATCTTTGGTGAAGTGTCCATTCATGTCTTTTGCCCACTTGTTTTTAACCTGGCTATTCACTTATTATTTTTTATTTTTGAAGGTTAGTAATCTTTTATAATATGCTTAAATTTTTTTTTCTTTGATGGCTTTGAGAGAGAGAGGAAGGAAGAGAAATTAAAATATCAATTCGTTGTTACACTACACTCATTTATTGATCTTTTTTTTAAATTAATATATTTTATTGATTTTTTACAGAGAGGAAGGGAGAGGGATAGAGAGCTAGAAACATCAATGAGAGAGAAACATCGACCAGCTGCCTCTTGCACACCCCTTACTGGGGATGTGCCCGCAACCAATGTACATGCCCCTGACCGGAAATGAACCTGGGACCTTTCGGTTCACAGACCAATGCTCTACCACTGAGCCAAACCGGCTTCGGCCACTACACTCACTTATGCATTCACTAGTTGATTATTATATGTGCCCTG